TAAGACAGCTCCACATATAAAACAATTTTTGGCATCTTCTACGAAACTAGCATTTTTTAGTTGTGCCACTTTATGATTAAAGGTGCGATGTTCAAATCATTATTTATCATCATATATAAACACCCTGACACAGCCGACGAGGATGCGAGCGAATGGTTCATTTCTCAGAAAATTTGATTCTTGATAAATTTAGTACATGACCTAAACCACAGTAAATACTTCATACATATTAAATGGAAGGTAAAAAAAAAATATGAATTTGACTCAAGTGTGAAGATTTTTGTTAGAATACAACCATAGTTTTCTGGAAGGTGGTTATGATTTTTCATATTTGCTGATAAAAGTTTCGCAAGTAAAAATGTTTTCTATTTTTAAAAATTAGGGTTCTTATTTACGATTGAGCTATATTCATATTTTTTTATTTCCCTCGTATATGATTCAATTTTTTTAATATGTATAAGTTTGAAGTGCATTTTATGTCATGTATTAACTTTCAGTTTAAAACAAAAGAATAAAAAAAATACTATAAAATATTAAGAAAAATTTTTGCATAGGCTAATGGATTATATCCGCAGTCATAAAATCCAATCACACACACAACTTTTATCAGGAATAAAATTTTCTATAAGGTGCAAACGTTTTTCAACACTATATACAAAAAAATATCCCTTACGATATACGATTTTTTCTTATTGGCTTCACCGATAAACTCAACTAATACTCTCACTAGGACTTATGTGCACGAATGATGCGCTTTCGCTCGTAGTCACGCCTGGCGTATAGTAAATTTCAAGTAATATTTTTCTTTTTTTTTTTTGAAACAAGAGCTCTTTAATCTTGAGCTAGATTCATATTTTTTTACCTCCTTCATACATGGTTCAAATTTTGCAATATGTATGAAGTTTGTAGTCGATTTTAGGTTATGTACTAACTTTTATCGAGAATAAAAATGTCTGTGAAATTAATATAAAAGATTTCTATGTAGTGTAGACATTTTTCGACACCTCGAAAGCGTCTAGCAGAGGTAACCTCCGCGAAAGGTGTCAGGCAAATGTTGATTGGAGATTATAATGTGATTTAGTTGAACTTATTTTAAAATATTGGCTTTCATACTATGCTCTACATTTTTAGTACTGAGGAGCTGTTATCTACCAAACCCTCCTGTAGTCAAGATGCATAACACCCAAACCTTATTATCTACTATCATGTGCACACATAAAAAATCTTAACATTCATATTATAAAGTAGGTCTGGCGGTCGCTGGCTCTTAAGTCTATTACCCTAAGATGGTAAAAAGTAGCAAAAGTCTAATATACTTATATGTCCTAAAGTTTATGCTTAAGCCTAAAAACGCGTCAGACCTATTAGGTTTCTATTCACAACATATTGTTACGCTGCACACTGAATTCAATTCATTGCCAAGCTTCGGTAAGCAACATTGAAGCTGAAAACACTACTTTGCCTTCATCTATAAACCGAACCAAGTCACATTCGAACCCTCTAAACCATACTAGCAAGACCCTTAAGCCACCCGCGTTTGACGGTCAGACAACATAGTAAAGGTATCGACTCCAATTTGAAGCTGCAGCTAGAGCCAATGGCTAAGTCGAGAAAGAAATGGCGGCCTGATGGTGTCGCAGGCAGCAACCGTTTTACAGTTGCTTCTCCAAGAGAACTCAATTATTCGCCTCTCATCAAAGCCTTGGAGACAAGGTATGGCCAGCAGCATTTAAAGCAACAGGTGTTTTAAAGCCGTCTAAATGTTCGTAGTTAGAAACACAATGAGAGTCTATAGGAATTCGAGGCCGATATAAAGAAGATTACTGCATTTGACCTATCCACAGGCGCCCAAAGATTTCATAGACTAAATCAGCATACATGCATTCATTGATGGACTACAGGATGTGGAAATGCAGCAAGCTCTTCGACTACAACACCACAAGACGCTGAGTGAGCCCAGCAGCGAACATCATATCTAGATATTCTCGCGCAAAATTGAGAGACATTAGATTCCAGGAAAATGAAGAGGCCACCACTAATACTATCTCCCAACCTATCCTCTCACAAATCTTAAATGAAGACACAAGTGGATGGATGAAGGGCCTAAGTAACATTTTTTTAATTGTTTTTTTTTTCTGTGAATGAAGGGCTTATTATTCGTTTAAAATGTCTTCCGTTACAATATATCATCAAATATAGAAGTTGCCAGTGGATAAAGGACCCATGTACTAGGGAATAACTGTCAAACAATAAACAATAAAACGAAATATTTCGTAAAAATTATTTTGCTACATAGGCCCTTCATCCACTTGTGTCTTCAAATGTCCTACAAAATATGCAACGAAAGAGCCAAAATGAGAACAGAAGATGCTTCAATTGCGGAAGAATCGGACACCTTCAAAAATCTGTAGAAGCGGGGCTTGTTCTATAAATCGAGTATTGGGGAATGAGGCTAGAAATTCACCTAAATCAACCTTCCGAAGCCCGTCACGAAGTCCAACAAGAAATAACTACAGATCTCCCGCAGAAGCAGGTCACCCACACCAGAGGGCCCCAAAATTCGCACTTACACCTTAAATAAAAAGAAACAAAATTTATTGATTAAGGAGTATATCGACAACGAAGAAGGTACCTTCGTCATTGATACTGGTGCAACAAAGTCTTTCATTCGACCAACTCAAAGCAGCTTGGTTCTGGAAACAGCTAGAGGGCACACTACTCCTGTTCTAGGACAGATATTAGCAACCATACAGATTGGTAATACCCTAATAGAACACTTATTTCTGGTGGCCGATATTAAGGATCAAGGATCAGTGTGTGATGCAAAATAAGTTCATCATCGACCTTCAAAATAAGATTTTGGTAATCGGAAACCAGGAAATTGTCCAAAATTCGGAAGAAAAGACTCAAGCGATAAAGGTCCTAGTCAGTACCGGATGGAAAGGGAGGGCGCTGGGGCGCCGCCCTCCCTGCAAAGTAGCAGGAGTCATCTGCAATTAGTATTTCCATATACTTAAACAGTAATTTTATTTAACTCCTCCTAAATTTATTAACAATTAAAGAATCAAACACAGATAAATGCAATAATAAAGTTTGTGAGCGAATTTAATTAGCTATCATAATAAATGCGCGCTATAATTATTCTATCGGCGTAATACCAGCAGCCCATAGCGAATCGCTGGACGGTTGCCATATATGGTTACCAACGTCAACGTGTAGATCGCGGAGAAATTATGCATTTTGGAAGCATGCGTTGGCGGTTGGCGAGCACAGCTCAGTCCATAGATAAATTAATATTAATTCATCTATGGCTCAGCCCTCATCCCATTTGGCGATCTCTTTGTGGTTTGTTTTGCTATGTTGATCTAGTGTGGTGTTTATTTATCATGAAAGTAACGGAATTAAAAAGCCTCGTATTCAGCCGCTTAAGTTATGATTTTTGGTATTGATTTTTTGGTGCCCTTATACTCAGCCTTCCCTATTACACAAGTCACGAGCCGCCACTGGTCCTAGTGGAACAAGATATAGAAGTACCCCAAAATTCTGAATTTGTCGTATCGGCGAGACTTAGCGAGAAATCATACGGCTTACATGTGGGTATTGTGGAAAGTGAAGAATTTGTGAGTGAAGGAATTCTGGTAGATGTCTCGTTAATGTAGATCAACCAATTTCAGTAAGGGTTGCCAATGTATCGAAGAGACCAATTAAATTAAAGACAAGACAAAAATAGGGCTCTGTACACCGGTGAAAAACATAATCAATTGCGAAGAGAGTTCTACGACTAAAGCCGTCACAAAAGTAACTCAGTTGACGCCAGCTTCCTGAAACAGCTAATTAAATATTTTGACCACCTGACGTCTGAAGAACTAAGAAAAGTTAAAGAATTTTAGATATGGAAAAATGTTTGATTTTAGGACTTAACTATATTTTGCTCCTTTTTGCCACCTCAATCAATAATTTCCAAATATCTTTCTAAATCTAAAAAATAATATTCAGTATAGAAAAACTTTAATATCAACAATTTAATATAATTTTCAAATAAATTTTTAATCGTAATAACCACATTACATCACCATTTTTCAAAAATTTCTCTATACTTAAAAAATTTGGTAGATTATGTCATAGTCTTTAGATCAATTGACATTTTTACTTTACATATTTAAATATTTTTTCGCGTAACATACTAACATATTAAAATTTATATAGTCAAACATTATAGTCTTTCCGTGATTTCTAGTGTAATATGTTTTTATTTTTAGATTTACATGCATCAGCCTAGAAAAAAGTAAATATTCGCATGCATTTACTAATATGACCGAGAAAAAACATAAATAAAAATGTACTTACAAAATTAGTAGGTATCTTATAAAATAATGCAAAGTATTTTTGTTTTGTATACATACAATTTTTGTACGATAGCCAAGCAACCATTAAAACGCCGAGCTCTTACGTAATCAGCTCAAAACTGGTCTGAAGATGCTTAGACATATTGAATGAGAGGAAAATACATTTACTCTCACTTGGGTCCCAGGGCATAACGGGGTAAAGGGTAACGAGATTACTGTATAGCAAGGAAAGGGGACTCAAACACCCTTTGCGGGACCTGAGACCTTCTGCGGTATCAGCAGTAACATATTAGGAGATTTACTTCTAGCTGAATATAACCAGAAAAGATCGGAAGCCTATATCTGCCTGAGCAAGAACAGGGTACAGGTTGTAACAGGGATCCTTACCGGGCATTGCCGAATCAGAGGACACCTTAGCAAACTGAGAGTAGTAAAGGGTGTATCTTATAGTGATATCCGAAGTTTTTTTTAAATAATTTGACCACGAAGTATAGATACAAGGAGTCCGAACGGTATAAACTTTTTTGTAGGATTCATGTACCCAAATATTAAACCCAGATCTTAGTTCTTTTTTCTGCCACTGGCTGCGCAAATATTCAGGACGTACCGAAAAGCAAATGAGAATTTAGCAAAAGTGGCTTTATTCAAAGCACCAAAAGTGAGTAACCTCTAAATAATATTAAAAATTTGTTTTTAACAAATGCTTGATTAATAATTTTGTTTAATTTTCAAATAATAATTAAACGAGTACTTCTTCAAAAGTGGCGCGCCCTACCGGCAAAAAGTCTGTCCCCCAAATTGATGCCATTCATTCAACATTACGTTCGGACTCCTTGTATCTATACTTCGTGAATTTGACAGTGAATTTTTTTGTAATAAATGTTTTTTTTATTGAAATTGGATCCATTACAATTTATTTGGTCACTTTGAAGATGACATCGGCCAAGTGGCCACCTCCGGACGCCTCACACAAATCGGCCCGTTTTTCGGCATTTTCCATCGCTTTTTGGAATGTTTCGGGTTGAATGGCAGCGATTTCTCGGGGTATGTTGACTTTAAGTTGTTGGAGAGTGGCTGGTTTATCGGCATAAACCTTTCCCTTCAGATATCCCCACAGGAAAAAGTCAGGTGCGGTCAAATCTGGTGAATGAGCCGGCCAGTCGAAATTGTCGTATTTTGATATCAATCGATTCGGGAACGTGGTACGCAATAAATCCATTGTTAGACGGGCTCTATGGCATGTTGCGCCGTCTTGCTGGAACCAATAGTCGCCCATGTCATGTTCGACCACCTCATGCGGCTTATTCTCCGACGGACAGAGGTTGCCAAATATCCTGTGCATTAAATTTTGCAACCAAAGCACGAGTAGTCTTCGGGGTAGGCGCATTCTGGCTACAATACCTTGCTCTGAACGCGCGTCGAGTCAGCGTAACAGAGGAATTTTTTTGAAAATACATTTTTACAATTTCAGCACGTTGTTGTGGTGTGAGGTGGTTCATTGTTAAAATTGTACTAGACTGACGTTTCTAAAACATGGCGATCTGTCACCTGGTTGTCAAGGTATTTGAAAAAAATATCGGGTACCACTAGAAGATACACCCATTAGAAGATAGTGAGTGCAGAATCTGTGAGGAGGAAGACAGAACCTCTATTCATATTCTGACTGAATGTGTAGCACTCCAGAATTCATGGGCACTATACTTAGGTGCATACCAAATATAAGAGGGCGATCTATCTAACTTGAAGCTACTCCAAATCTTACTTCTTTGAGAAGATATGATTGGAAGGGTCATTATAGGCATCGAGACTATTTCCTCGATGCATTAGCGACAGAACATCACATACATAATAATACTCCCTCTAATTCACCCCCTTACATACAATTTTATATTTCAAAAGTACATAATCTTGTTTTACTAACATTTTAAAAACATCAATCTTTTCTAAACCTTGAATAAAAAATATCTTACGATACTTAATATATCTTAAAACGTTTCAATTAGAATGTTTGTACCTCGTACACACTATATACTAAGTATACTTTTCTTATTGTATCATGGCCACCACTGAGTTATAAAATAAGTTTTTTTTATTATTTATTGAGTAAATAAATTATTATTATTTCACCTATTTCTTTCGCCCTTTCTCGTTCTTTGATAATAGTCTCATTTCTTCTAAATTTTTGCTTTTTTTTTTGTCAATTTCTATAGTTTTAGTGTTCCAGTTCTTCCTTGGCCTGTCCATACTTTCTTTTCGGTTCTAAGATCATAGTTCTTTTTTACTAAACTATTTCTATTCATTCTTATTACATTTGTCCTCTATTTTTGTACCTAAATTTTCTTCTTCTTGGGTTATGGTCTCATTTTTTCTGTGATCCACTTTGCCATACCCATACTTCATTTAAATAGCCTATTTTCTTCCGTGCTTTTTTTGGACTACCAAAGACTCTCAAACATAGTAAACAAGTGAATAATAAATAGCCATTTGTATATGAAGGATAGGAAACGAAATAGTATATATGTTGCCAGTCGTAGGTGACCTATAACTTAGTTCTTACCAGCACTACATAGCTGAATTCACTAATGAAATATACGTTTAATTTTATTTCATCGTTTATCTTTCTTTCCCACTATGGTGCCCTTTAACGCCTAATCTGTTGTTAGCCTTCAAATTATGTAAAATTCAGTATGGACCTATTTTTACACTATTCCCATTAAAAAATGTTTTTTGAACCAAATTCTACTAAATGTGGCTTGGTTCCAACCTATCACAACTAATACAGTCTTTACTGTAACAACTAACAACAGTTGGAATATGCTGTCAAACATTATATTATCAATAAAAGTTATTTAAAAATTTCTATTCGGAGGATGAAAATAACTTTTTATATAAAATAACTGCCTTAAATAAATTATCAGTATGCGTATATCTAATTTTCTCAAATATTAAAAATAAAAACATGCAATATTTATATATGTAAAATCAGTCACATCTAGATTTTTATAGAAAGTCATAGCACATCCATTAATTAAATACCATTCACAGAAAATCATCAGTATACTGACAATTCTAAATGGTAGTCTCCAAAATAAAACTACAGTCTTTTTTAATAGATCATTGGAATTGTTTGGAATTGCAGTATACTGACACAATATTCAATGTTCAAGCATGAAAATCATACTAGTCTAAGAAAATTTATATACAAAGTTTTAGAAGTACTTTTATAAATTATAAAAATATGAATTGAAAATAAATATTATGTCAAAGTATTTTTGATATTTAAGCTATCTTAACAGTTAATAAAATACATTTTGTGTTAAAATATAATGAGTGCTATATTTATTAGGATAAAAAAATAATCGAATAATTTATTTTGGATAGTTATACTTAGTAATAATTTTTATTTGTCAAAATTTCGAAATGTCCTTTCTTTAAGTTTTTAAAAAAATTAAATTAAAATGTTTGAAAAGGTTTAATACTCAATTCATAATGCAACACTTATTTTCTATTAGATCTTTTGATTAAAATGTGAATCTCTAATGTTTCTATACATTATTTTTTGAAAAAAACATTAAAATCACAAATTGAATATATATTTTTGATAAGATTTTTGTAATATCTTTTAAAGCACTTAAATAAAGTGATGCGTTTCTTTCACTGGTGAGAATCGTCCCAAGAATATGAGCAAAAATATGAACTTGACTTTTTGGCAGTAGTTTTTTTTTATACAAAACTAATTAATTATTGTTAAATAGTGATAGTCAATAAAAACCATTAATCATTTATTAAATGTTATGTTATTTTCAGATTCTTTTTAAACTCAAGCCAAATAAAATTTCGAAAATGTCAACCTACTGTTCTAACATGCAAATGAAATGTGTACACCAAATTAAAAAATGTAAGTATTCATTTATTTTTAATGTCTGCAAAAATGTTTTCAGAAGAAAAAAGTGGTTAAAACTAAGGTTAAGGACAACTTAGTTGGTTGAACATATTGAATTAAAAAAAAATGGTTGGTAGAAGGCAAAACATTGTTATAATAAAATTTTGTAGGAAAAACATTAATTGAAAAGTCTAATTTTATTTTTAAGTGTTTTCAGTAGAAATTTATTGGTTTTATAGTGCTAGGCGATGTTAAAAGTTTTAAAAATGATTTGTATATACTCTAGCAGTTGAATTATATAGATGTTATGAATATTATTTGTTCAATTCATTTAATTATTATCATATATACAGTTTCTAAAAATAAACCAGGGGCCTATTTCATAAAACTTCTTTGCAACTTTTCACTTTGCTCTTTGCATATTTTAGTAAATTTATGTTTAATAAAAGAGAAATTTGACAAGTTAAAAAGTAAAATTTGAAAAGCAATTTAAAGAGTAAAAATGAAAAATTATTATTCTGCAAAGGTAACGTTATTATTGTATGAAACACAAGTATTTTGCACTCGTAAATTTGCAAAGTGAAAAGTTGCAAAGTGGTTTTATGAAATAGGCCCCAGCTATTTTTATAATGCATTACAGCCAGTGTGCTCTGAGAAGTAGTTGACCAGTAGAAATTATAACAGATTAACGTGATGCATATTCAAGTAACGAACTATAAGACTTTAGAATAGTTTTCCATTCCACATTATTTTCAATCCTTAGTGGCTTATTCAGGCTTTACTAACATAGAATTGAGACCAAACAATGGAGCAGATAATAGCGATTTTAGAGTAATAAATAGTTTATTATCTGATATATTATTTACTGGTCAACTGTTTCTTAGAACACTCCCTGTAATGGAGTTTAAAACTGAATCTGTTTATTTTTAGATTTTGACTAAATTTGTGACATTTCTATCGGCTTGTTCTGGCCTTGAAAAACTAAGATGTTCCTTTGGCAGTTAAAGTCCTCTGGTTTTTGTATTACTTTAGATTTCAGATCTGTCTGTCTATATTTTGAACAACAGGTTTGAACTGTTTTAAAATATTGTTGGAAATACTTGTACAATAAACTAACTGGTAACAACTTGTTTAAAATAATACAACATGGTGAATCTGAGGTAATTTTTTTGTACAGTTTCAAAATGGTTTTATTTAGATTTAAGAACCAGAACAAACCCTGATGGAATATTTTCTAAGTATGTAGCTAGAACTTTATTAATTTCCTTTTGAACTACAGTAACACCCTTAGTTATGTAAAACACAATATGTAGTAGATGCATTTTTTTATTACTACTTGATATATTAGATGCAGGTATAGTTTAGTAATAATCTATCACATAAAAGAAGACTATATTTAAAGTTAGTGTTTGTTAGTTTAAAAGATTCAGGATGCTTTCAATTTTGTAGATTAGGCAGCAAAAAAAAATTTTGTACTATAAAAATTAATTTACCAAATATTTAAAATCAAATTGTTCCATTATGGAAGAAAATGATATTTAATGCAAAATAAAAATATTGGATAACTCTTAGGATTGGTAACCAAATATATAATGGTCACAGGAAAACCTAAGATGTACTATAATAATCTCCCTACAATTCACAGAAGTAGAAATCCTGCAGGGAGGGATGGATACTATTATTTGCCAGATCCCTACAGTGATGGTGACTTACATTTAAGGAAACATAGAAAATCCCAAATACTCTCATCAACAGGATAACACACCTGAATTAACAGAAATTAATTTACTGCTAATACTCCACCCATCAAATCCTACAACCATGGAAATTAAAAAAAAACATGTCTGCTGTAGACACATGGTTTTCTACCCTGGCTCATATATCATGACCTAGTTTATAAATTGTAAAATTAATTCAAATTGTTAAGTAAGAAGTTTGATCAACTTCGGGTATTACTGTACTGATAAACTATTGTCTTTTTGTTTTTGAAATGATAAATACAATTTATTACTGTGAAGGCAGTTATTTTTAACCTGTGTAAATATGTACTCAGCATTATGATAAAAGGTGTAATGTTGTGTTAAACGTCTAAAGCTGAAAACATAAACTACTATCCCATTTGGAACCCATTATATGTGGGCTTTGTTGTAACTGATGATCTACTTCAACATAAAATAAGCAAAAAGCTGTTTAGGGCTGGTCCTCTACAGTTTTGTACCAAAATGGTTTCTGCAAAGCTGCGAATACCTCATTCCTCAATGTTCTCTTCCATTTACACTTTTTGAAGGTAACGGGCCCCTTACGGGACTTTTTTCTATTTTTTCTTTTAACAAATTAAACTTAGCTTGCATTACTTTAAGTTGTAGATTTAATGAAGTACTTAATTGACGTTGTAGGTCTTGAACTTCGTGTAGTTCTTTGCGTAAATTTTGATAATTTGATCTCACTTCTCCAACTGATTTTAACAAGTCGTTAACTTCAATTTGTTCGCCGTTTTCGGCGAAAAATTCACTTTCTATATTACTCACTTGAACTACCAGTGTACCCATACGTTCGTCAGTCTCTTTCATCTAAAAATGTGTTTTTTAGTATACTACAAACTTTACTGTGTAGTAGTACTGTATGTTATTTCCCTTTAGACAAACCTTGTTTTCGAGGTCTTCCACTAATGCTTGTTCCATTATTTAGAAGTAAAAACTAATCAAAATTAAATTTACAAGTAAGCGGAAATAAAATTTGGCAGCCGGGTTTTTTTTACATATCGATATTTTAAATCCCGGGCCCCCAAAATCCAAGTACAAATTTGTCAGTCTAGTCTAGATGACAGTTGGAACACAAAGTGACAAGTGACAATTTGACAGGACTACCAACATACGTATGCTGCGTTTGAGAATCCACATCGGATGCATCTGAGATGTAAAAAATCTTTGATCACGTGATTCAGTATACGCAAATGTAATGGGACCAATGAAGTGGAGAGGGGTAGAATGATAACTGTCAATGAAAAAGTCTGGACACTATGCACAATTTCGTTTTGCACATTTTGTAAACAAAATTCAGGGACGGTTTAACAACATTTTGTGCAACAATTATAAAATAGTGCATCGAAAAATAATTAACAAGTATAATTTAATACTAAATCGGAATAAAAGCATAAAAAATCATAAATATAAGCAAGATAACAAAGAATTGACGCCAAAAAAGCTTACAACAGCCAAAACACAAACAAAAAACAGAGCTGAACATGAACATAATCGCTGAATAAAGTCGATCCTGGAATTTGTTTACAGTGCTTTAGGGCAACCTCTCCTTGTCATTTACGTGTGTAAGAGTGGAAGGCTGAATCACGCATAATTTCTACACTCGTGATGGATGCGCAGACGGTACCTTATCGTTCTACCCTCTCTACTTCTTTGAATGGGACAGATGTGTCCGATGTGGATAAAAAACGCTCGAGATGTAAAAAATGCATCCGATGTGGATTCTCAAACGCGGCACAATAATGTTGAAATCTCAGATAAATAAATAAAAATAGATAAGTAAATGTCAAATATTTTAATTTTTTGTTTGAAAGCAACATATACAAACTGGGTGATAGGAGCGGTTTGTTCACTTTTATTATCCAGTAGCGTATCAAATAAATATTAATAAAAATTTTAAGGATTTTTTATTACATAGCTTTAAGATCAATAGATCTAAAGTTTTTTAGATACGGGATGTTCATAGAAAATACTCAGTTGGCCACTTAATTATGTAACTTTATGACACGGTGTCACATAATTATAAAGTAATAATTTTTCTTTCCGAAGCTTATTTCTAGTATTTATATAACATGTTTTTTTGCAGCCAGTTTTATTGATTTTTCTTAGATACAAGTTATAATATGTAATAAATTAGTACATGTTTTTAATTTAGAGTCGTTATATAA